CCTAACACTATTATTCTTGTACAACATTTTTTAAATTAATTTTGTTTAAAATACCTGTCACACTATAATATGTGAGAATTGCAGGTTCAATTTCCTCTAAGTAGATTGCCACTAAAGCCTATTACAGAGAAAAAACAAAACAAAATAAATAAAAAGCCACAAACAAAACTAACAAAAAACCCCGCCAAAACCCAACTCCTCAGTTTACTACAATTTGTTTCTGGAATATTAATGTTTATTATGGGGGAAGAAGGGCTCTGACAACACTCAGAGGCCTAGTTATTTATGGTAGCAGTTACATAATCTAAATGCCTGTCTGTGAACAGGATTTTACCTGCCCCCAACAACCTCTGACTTTGAATGCAACAGACACACGAAGTATAGTTCAAATTTACCTCTTTAATTTCTTTACCTTAAATATGAGCAGAATTTAAACAGTTGGTTTTCTTTGAAGTTTGCCTTTACTAAAATTTTCCCTGCTGGACCCCTTCTGTCTTAGTACTTCGTCCCTTATCTCCTTGTATCCTCATACTTCAGTTTTTTTTATGTGAGAAGCAGGCTTGGTTTGGGGGTTTTTGTTGTTGTGTTTTTTGGTAATATCTTTAAGAGGTCAGACAAGCTTTCAGGCATAAAGTTTGTCTGACATCTCTCCCAACTATATGGCTTGTCCAATAAAAGGCATTACTAAACAGATCCTGGCTGTTGCATATTCTCTGGACTCTCATAGCTACAGCAGTCTAATATATTTTATATCCCCACACTGGAATGTATTGGATAGGCTTGATCTGATCTCTAGTTTGAGTCAGCTCAAAATCAGCTCTGCCTCTCAGTACAAACACTTGACATCAGGATAATTTAGGCTTGATCTCTGCAGGCTTTTAGTATCTGCTGCCCTGTTATACCACCTGTCTGGAACAAGCCTGAAGCATTTACCACTGCTGTATATTCATAGCAATTCAGTTATTAGTGTACTGCTAAATAGATTGAGCTCAACTTTTCTCTATTTCTCAATATTCCTGACTCTTTTCCCCTTATATTTTCCTCCCCCCACCCATTTTCTCCGCTTTCTTCTCTTCCATTCTGTCTAAGAAAATAGGAACAAGTCTGAGTTGTTTCTTTTGCTTTCCTCTCATTCCCTATTTAGAATGGCCATGGAAGAAGATCTCTCTTCTAGGAAAGGATCTTATAAAAGTAGCTTTTTATGCTTAGCAATATCAAATTGATCGGATCTCCTGGTTTCTCTTCCTCACTCCCAGATTCTTGCACCTGGGGTATTATTCTGGGTTTTATTAACTATATCAGATATGTGCAATGTAGTTGTCTTGGTAGGTAGTCTTTGCCTGAGCCTGGCTCATTTCCTGTCAGGGCTCCTGGATTAGGGTTAGATGCTCAAATTCAGTAAGAAGCAAATTCAGAGCTTTATGTTTGTGAGCTTTTGTTGAAAACTAAATGTTTGTATATGGTGTTTTTTCCTGAGGCATTTTCTCCCAGGCCCAGGTAGAATGAGTAGCATACATCTAGCACAGAGGTGACAAAGGGATAGACCATAATGGTTACACATTTGAGAAGATGGGATAAAGCCAGAAAAGGTGAAATGATTTTTTTTTCTGTGTCAAAATATATTTAGAAGCAGAGTTCAAGCCTGGCCTATAGGACTTGTGTATCATGATGATTGGTGGCTAAGGGCACGTTTCTCAGGTTAGAGTAGTTGCAGTATAACAATATTTAGATATACTGACCCATAGGTGAGGAACAAGATTTGTAATATTGGGTGCATCTACACATGCACTTAACTGTGCAGTAGATTCATTTGCTGTGATGTAAAGTGTCAGTCTACATGTACAACACTACTAGATCACAGCAAACTAATTTTCACTACCACCATGGATAGTGTCTTACAGTACTAAATAACTGCCCCTTAATGCACATGTAAACGCTGACCCAGGTGTACATGTGCCCAGTCAGCGAAGGCACCAGGGTCCAGACCCCTGCCTTCCCCTTAGCCGCAGGGCTCTGCAGCGGCACTTTTGTGCCCGAGCCAGCCCCAACACCGCTCCCAGAACCCACGGCTGACTCCCTGGGCCCCTGCCAGTCTGGAGCTGCTCCACCCCAGCTCAGACTGCTGGGGTCCTGAAACACAGCAGTTTGAGCCTCTGCGCTGCTATTTGTCTCAGGGGAAATGTGTGCCCCTACACGTGTGTTCAAACAAAGCTATATAAAAGTTTTTGTGTCTATAACTGACTGATCCCAGATGACAGGTTTTTCTTTGTGTGAAAATACATGGTGGCAGTGAGCGTATTAGTGCCCATATTATTTGCTGCATGAACAACAGTTTACTTGCCACTGTCTTGAGCAGTATTTATTGCTAGCAGCACAGACATGTAAGCAATTAACTGGCGTGTTGGGAGTGATGTGTTCAAATTATTGACTTTCTGTTTTTCAAGTTTTCAGCTAGAAATTCAGCTGTATATTTTTAGTTTTCAAATTAAATGTATAAATAATGAATATAAAAGTACCCAGAAGGCTCGTGCTCATGCACAAAGCCTTACCAAAATAAAGCACTGTGGTCAGGTAGGCCTGTCAATGAGTAAGTGTCTCCTTTTCCTTTCAAAACAGATCTTGCTCTCAATTTTTCATGTGGCTGTTAGAAACAACCAAGGCAAAAGAGAAACAGATTTAAAAATTAACCCCCCCAAAAAACCCCTTTTAGATATCATTCCTTTAAATAGCTCTGAGGAGATAAAAATAAACTCAAAATGTGTGGGGGTTAAAAGCTCTTTAGAGGTTGGGAGCTGCAGTTGCTTTAAGTGAAGGAGAGAGAAAGCCACGTAACCATGAATAGTTAACGTTGCGTTTTAGTAGCTGAAGTGCAATCACCAAGACAAAATGTATAGTCATCATCAGTGAGATCTAAGAGGCAGGTGGCGTACCTAGTCATTTCAGTGATTGTGGAATATTGGCCTGGCATCAGCTATCTCAGAAGAATCACAGACTGAAGAAACAGTTTCCATAACTAATGTTAGACAGACAGCATAAGAGAGCAAAGATATTTCAAACACAAGGCCATTTCACATCTGCAATCTTCTCTGAGCAATGAAAAAGGCAGCATAGTCCTGTATTAGATTAATGCTTCAAAACTCAATGCCACGTTTCCTAAGGCAATGAGGAAGGCAATCCAATGATGGAGTGGAGTTGGTCATGAAGTTTTTTAAGTGACTGAGGTTATCAGGGATTCTGAATTTATTCTGGTTTAATAGCAAAGTTAACTGGAATGAACCAACTGATCTGCAATTAATCTAGCAAAGTTAGTCCTTTCTTCTTGAACTCTTCTAGAGTTTACAAATTTGTATGCTGTTTATAGTTAATTATAGATGCAAATATATTTTGTCCTGTGGGTTATTTGTAAAACTATCTACTTGAATTATTCACTCTTGAGTATCTGTGTAATTTAATTGGTCATCTATATGACACTACATACTGTGTGTTCCATGGCTGACTAATCTAAACTTCATGAAGCAGAAGGGCACCTTAAAATCCCGGGGGCTTTGCCCCTTTCAGGGAAAGGAGCACTTCAGTGAGGGAGAAAGAGAGCGTGAAACAATAAATAAACAATAACAATAAATAAATAAGGAAGAACTTCTTTACTGTCCAAGCCCCCAGGCACCTACTCTGGACTCCTTTAAGAGACATTTGGATGTTTATCTTGCTGGGATCCTTTGACCCCAGCTGATTTCCTGCCCCTGGGGCAGGGGGCTGGACTCGATGATCTCCTGAAGCCCCTTCCAGCCCCAATGTCTATGAATTCTGGAAATTTTAAGACATATCAGATGCCTTTTTCTCCTTTAGCAATATGAAGACTGTTATATTGGCTACATGGACTGTTTGAAAGTAGTTAGGTTCCTTGCTGACTGAGGGAGAGAAAAAGCTGTGACAGATTTATTGATGATCTGGCATACTTTACGTTCAATTTTCTCTTTTCACATTCAGAAATAAGTGCGTGCGTGCGTGCGTGCGTGCGTGCGTGCGTGCGTGCATGCATGTGTGTGTGTGCTCCTGCTTGGAACTGAAGTCAGTAGAGCAAAGCAGATTTAATTCAGCCAAAGATCTGGCAGCCAGTTTGTATCTTTTACTCATTGCCAGCACACACATATCTGTAGCAGATCCATAGTTGGTGTAAATTGGTGTAGCTAAGGTTCCACCTACCCCTTTATTTCAAATGGCATTTATTTGGTAGTTCTATTATGAGGATTGAAAATTTAGCTGTCTGTGTCCAATTCCCAATTCCCTCAAACCAGCTGGCATATGCAGGTTGCACTGCAATAGGAAGATATAAACAATTCATTCTAGCATACATGTATGAGTATGAGAGACAGAGCGAGAGAGAGAGCCATTATATTTGGTGCAGCTTTCCTTTCATCATTTTTTGATGCTTTCAGTTGGAGTAAGTACACTTTTAAGTGGAAATGGGCAAAACTGTAATGGAACTAAATAATACTTGTCTACTGTTGTATTTATCTTCAATTGGCTTGTCAACCAATTAAGGAATTATTACCTATTACTGTAGAGACATCCAACCTCTAAACAATCTCTATTGATAGGTGTCTAGTTTTTTTATAACAAGATTTCTAATTTAAAATTGTGGTTGCCATAATGTTTGAGAAAAATGTTGTTATTTAATATTCATTGTACATCTAAATGTCTCAAACGGGTTGAACCCTTTTCTGCTAGGGCTCACCCAGTCTGAACAAACCTATAATAAATAGCAGACACTGCCCTAAAAAACTTGCAAATGCCTTTCTTAAATGGAATGAAAAAAATGTCCCTACAGGCAAATGGTGATATCATGTATATGATAGGAAAAATATGCGGCAGAGAGCTTTTATTTGGAAGAGGTTTTAAAAGGGCAAAGGACCAAAGCCACAGAGGAATTGTTTAGGTCCTGTTGTTGTTTTTGGACATTGCTATGACGGTGATTTTTCCTGTGGGTTTTTCCCATTTAGGATGATTTCCAGCCTGCAGCCTCAGAAACCAACTGGGAATCTGTCACAAGCTCTGTCTCAGTAAGTAGCTTGTTACTGTTTTGTCCAAGAAAAGATAGGCAGTATGGCTTAAGTCCAGCTCAGTACAGAAACGAGTACAGACTGTTTTAAGTTTTGAGTTATCAAATTTCTAAATCAGAGTAAATTTTGTGATAATTAGCTTTAAAAAACAGCTGTTAGGAGAACAGATTAACCTTTCAACAGTCAATACATAACTTTTTGGGGTTTTTTTTTAATATCTAGTGATGAAAGATCCTGGTTTAAATCTCCATTTTGGACAATTAAATCTGACTTTAAAAAACAGATTCTATTAAAAATCTTATCCCTCATTCATATTATCTGATTTTTATCAAATAGGAAATCAACCCAACAACATTTCTTAAACAAAATGTAGATTTTGTGTCCACAGTGTGTGGGAGGAAAATGCCAGGAGCAGACTTGGTAGTGGGGCAGTCCCTCTGCGATGCCTTATTGTCTGTCCAGTGCCCCACCCACAATACTGATTCTCTTGACAGCCTCTCTTACATACAGCATAGGAAGAGGGCTGTGACTGAAGTAGAAGTGACAGGGGAGATGAAAGCTCAGAAGAATCTTCCATGATGAAGTGCTTTAAGATCCTGGGAGTAGTTGCTCTGTGAATCTTAATTCTGAGTATCAGTATTATCAAGGCCTGGTTCTACCAGACATTACATGAAAAGGATATGACAAATATTTGGAGAATGACAACTTGTTTCATTCTATCAGAGAGTTTAAAATGAATTAATGCATTTTTATCTGATGCCATATTTTTACACAAAATATTGTAAATTGTCATTAGAAAATGTAAGTTGAGTCTCCTCAGATGGCTGTGAGACTGTGATCAAATTACACTGAAAATGGCATTTTAGTAATTGCTCTCACCACAAAAAGGGGTTAACATTGATTACATCATTGATAATCTATGCCTTTTTTCCATATTTGAATCCCTTTAGTTGGGGGTTTTCCCCTATACATTGTATGGCACTTAGGCCACTTACCATTGGTCCCTCCAAATGTTACATCTATTACCTGGTTAACTTCACAATTAATTTAGACTGCCTACATACGTAAATTAACTATGGTGTCTTAAAAAGGTCCAGCCAGCTCTAAAGTTATTGCTGGAATGCAGTGTTATGTATGTGAAATAACGTTGTAGCTGATTTCTTTCCAGCTTTATAATTTGCATGTGTAGTCTGTGCCCCCATGGCTGGGAGATCGCAGCTGCTGTGGGGTGCCCTCCCTGCTGACAGATTGCAGCAGCAGCAGTCTCCCTGCCATGGAGTGCCTGGTGTACCCCCACAGCTGGAAAATTGCATCAGCTATGGTCTCCCAGTTGCAGAGGTGTGTGGGGCACCCCCGTGGCTGAGAGTCCTTTCAGCTGAGGGGCTCCCTGCCACAGGAACTTGCTTCTTGCTGGTGCAAAAGGATTGGGCTCCCCCTGCACCAACCATAAGGTGTGATAGGATCTGATCCATGTTCCCACAGTCATGCCTCCTGTTATGCGCGTTGCATGGCAGAGGTGTGAATGTGGGCATTGCGCATTAGATCCCATCATGCCTTTACTTACACTAGGAGAGGGGCCCACAGGGCTTCAGAATCATTCATGTGTTTATCCTCCCAACAGCTCTGTGAGGTAGGAAAGTGCACTTTCCATTTTATTAATAGGAAGTCAAGGATTCATGAAGCATCTCTTTGAGCCACTCTAATGCCCTAGCTAAAAAAAATCTTTCCTTCCTCTAACCCCAAGTGTACCAGCATTAGGTAGTAAGCATTGTTTACCTCATTTTACAGCTCGAGAACCTGAACCAGAGAGGCTGAGTAACTTGCCAAAGACTACAGAAAGAGTCAGTAGTAGGGACAGGTTTACAGCAGTTTACAGCTGAGGAATTCTTAATTCTTCAGCAAAGCAGATCCTCAGCTTCTGTAAAGGGGCTTTAGTGAGCATGGCTGAATGGCAGACCTCTGTCACATCATTCACTGGCCAAGCAATGTGCTGCTCCACTCCATAATGATCAAGAGCTCCAAAATCCCTATCAAACCCACAAATAGGCATGGCAAGAAGATCTGTGACCCTTGCTCCTTATGGAAAGGAAATTTTGGGGTAAGCAAATATGTGTGTTCCTATTCCCAGGCTTGAACTCAAACCACTTAACCACATCTCAGGTTTTTGCTCAGGATGCTTAAGAAAAAACTGCCACCAACTACCTTTTGCCACATATGCCAGAGCCCACAAAAAAAAAATCCTCAGGATGGGTTCTTGCACCCAGAAGAACAATAGGTCCAGTCTTTACCTTTTGTTGTGCAGTATATAATCTAATCAAATGATATTTAAACTTCCCACTGAATTGCAATCACATCTCCAGTACCATAGGAAGACTCTAACAGATTTAATAGAATAGTAGTGAGTTGTATTAGGTACCAAAGTAGCTAATTGGTTTGGCACTGATAAGAAAAGTGTTGCCAGTGGTCCTATAAAGGTCACAAAATATTGAACTGTTTTTAAGTCACCACCAAGAAGCATGTTACTTGGTAGTTGTTAGCTTCTCATATTTTACTATTCATCAGTCTTTGGATGCAGTCACAGAAACCAGATTACAGAGGGGGCTCAATCTTTTTCTAAAGCTAACATTTAGCTCTTGGCAGGAGAAAAGAGAGGTAGTTGGGTTGGCAGCTTTAAACCTGCTCTTGGGTCTGTCCATGATGCAGCTGCCAATAGGTTATCTGAACTGCTGTAATAATTCCTCTGATAATTCTTGCCTATCACTCTGAGAATGTTAAGCTTGCTTCTGTATGCGAACTAGATGTGCAAATTTCTCTTTCAGAAATCTCATGTAGGTGCTTTCATACAAAAGGTATGAAAACTTCCCCAGCTTTTTTTAAGTTTGAAATGTCCTACAAAGTCACAACAAGGGTCTATATGTGTTTCGATGTGTTTTAATTAGGAGGCATCAAAGCAGACTCAATTAATCTGCATTCTAATTAAAACACTCTAGCATCCCTGCTGTGCCATGTGTATAAGCCCCTGTGGGTTTAAAAATGGCCACTGGGGCGCTTTAACTAAAGCACATCAAGTGAGCTTTAGTTAATGTGTCCTGCAGCCGTTTTTAAATATGGAGGGGCTTATTACACATGATGCTGAAGTGTTTTAATTAGAGGGGCTCTTTGGGAACTGATCTAATTAAAATCCACCTCTGCCCCATCCCCGAGCACATGTATAGGCTGCCAGTCTGACCTTCCAGTTGCCCACAGAATATAATAAAATGCATGGCATAATACATAAAAACAGTATGCTCATCATCTTGGTCACATACATGTGGCACTGTAGATTTAACCTCCTGACCTTTCTGTATCAAACTCTGGTGCCTACCACTTAACCTACAGGAGATAGTCCATTAATTCCATTGTTGAGAGGGCTTCTATCTACTTTTGAGGGGGCTTCTTCTACTTTTCCTATCTACTTTTCAGGACAGCCTGTAGAAAACAACATGATTGCATGTGTTTGAGTTGCCCTAGTAGAGGGCATCACAACAAGGGGCAGCCTCTTTACAATTTTGGTATTTACTCAGCATTCTTGCATTTTTCTCCTATTTCCCTACCCTTTGTACTAGAGTTTTTCCAGTGGTGGCTTGGGATTATAAATTAGTTGCTACCCATTTGTTTTCTGATTTATAGATACCCTGTGATATTTTATTGCATTTTGATTTTTTTTATATAAAATATATTGTAAGTAATCACAGACATATCATGACTGTGACCAGCACATTGAATTTCTTATAGCATTGTTTTAAACAGCACACTTTATTCACTTCACTTACAGAGAATTTTTTGTTCTCATAGGGCTCCCATCATTTTGATAGTTGTTATGCCCAGATTCTTAGAAGTCAGACGAGGTTCTTTGTTGCATGGTTTTTCTTTTAGTGTATCATGAATTTCTAGGCTCTTCTGCATTGTGCTGTATTTAGCACTGGATTGTAGAAAAGTTGCAGTTGCAGAAGGGTGGCCTCTGAAACTTATTTTGGATGAAGTCTCTATGGGAAGGCTTAATAAATTCTAAGCTACTTTCACTGATATTTGATATTGGTGAGTGTATGTGTATGTATGTCTGTCTATGTATATGAAATAAGCTACAGCTACACTGGCATTTGAAAATAGGTACATATTATTGAGGTCTATCTGTGTACATACATGTACAGAAAATGTACATGTACTTTGTACACATGTGTACAAAGGTGGACCTCAATAATATGTACCCATTTTCAACTGCCAGTGTAGTTGTGATAGTTAGAAAACTGCAATTCTTCTTGATCGCTTGGCAACACAGTACTATGATGTTTGTTAATTTTTTTCTCTCTGGGACCTGATAATCTGGATAGCTCATACTTACAGCTATACAAGTAGTTATATTAAAGATTCTAAATCTAGCGAGTTTTATTTAAGGGACTGAATATTTAAAAGGAGTGAATTTACAGTAAAGTTAGTGCTCCAGTCATGAAAGGCTCCAGTCCCCCAAACAAGTGAGAAGGTTTATTTACATGAGTAGTTCCACTGATTACAATGGGACTGCTCACCTAACTACAGTTAATTACACAAATTAACAGTGTGTAAGGCCTTGCAGGTTCAGACCAAAATTAGCCTTCTAGTGAGGACTTTGAATGGTTATCTGACATTAAGCTATATGACTATGTCTCCATCACTTCAGATCCAGGATTTGAGGAGAAAGTGATGGGTTTTTTCTTCCCCCGTTTTTCTATTTATGATCTTTTTATTTAAAAATAATGCTCTAAACTCCTGTACTACCTTGTCTGAAAATAAGTACTGTGCAATATGCTGTTTTTTTGTAAAAGCAAGACCATTAAAACTTATGAAGAGTGGGAGGTAGCTCTTATGAAAGTGGGAGGTGGCACTTAAGAAAGTAACATATCTGTAGTGAATATTTCTTGAGAATTTTTCATACTGAACTGAGAAAAGGTGAGAACTGAGGAGAAGTGGAATAGTAAAATGTTAAATATTTGTGAACTGAAGTGAAGGTTACGGAAAAAGTAAACAGTTTGCTCTAATAAAACTGAAGTTAGCTACTATAAATGCAGTCTTGCATGTCAAATTTTCCCTTAGATGTGAACTGACTCTGGTTGAAGCCAGTACAAGCTGTGTGCCTCAAAAACTGGTGTTTAGATCTAAATGCATCGTAATATCCTTGTTTTTATTTTGTTAGTCATTACGACGTTTGACAAAAGTGGTAATCCCCTCACAATATTGCACTTTTTTTGATTGGTTAGAATTTGCAGTACAATTTTCTAACGTACTTCAGTAATTTTTCTCAAGTTCATTGGCCTTCAAATTTATTGGCCTTCTAAAGTGGAGTTATTTCTTAATATCAGAGACCAAAAATGTGAAGTTTTTGCTGAGGCCTTATAAAATTAAATTCAAAGGGCCTGAGGAGAGAATGGATGGTCCAGTAGTCAGACTGCTAGCTTGGGAGACCAGAATTCAGTCCCTCGAATTCCTTTGTGGTGATGGCTTTTGGCTCTGTATATCACAATTGCCAGCCTGTAAAAAAGAGTGCATGGGCGCATGATGCATCACATAAAGAGTCTCAGGATGATAACAAAAGGATTCCAGTGCATTCAGATATTGCAGTAATGACCTCCATATTAAATACCTAAGATAGTAATGTATGGATATTTCAATGAAATTTTGGCCTACATGCACACTGAGAGAAGTTGCTCGTGTTTGTGCCAGGGAGAAAAGTAGAAACCTAACTCTGCCTTTTCCCCAACCTGCATGGTCTCTTGGAATGGCTAACTGCTTCTAGTAGCATCAGTGCCACCCAACCTTGTAGTGTCTGCCCTTATTTAGAAGGGAACAGAGCCTTGCTGCTTCACTGCTCTTCACCACAGACAGGGTGAAAATAGATGCCCTCCTTGTGCCACCATAAAAATGTTTGTGGTAGCACATATTGTGAGCAAACAATGCCCTAGCCCTTTGTTGCACTCACTCCAAAGGCCAAAAACGGTGGTATGATCAAAAGTAGTCACAGTTTGTGATGCTTTAAATGAGAGGGCATATGTTTGCTTATTAGGTGTAATGGGGAATCCTGCAGCGCACATATCTCACTGCTGTGCCTTGAGTTAGGGCACACATCTGCAAGTAGCACCTTTCCTCATATGGAGATTCCCATACCACACTTGTAGACAAGTGCTTTGAATTAGGAGGCAGCACCTTGGCCCACCATCCTGCATGATTGGGCCTCTGAATCCTGGGAGCGGCAGGGACCCAACCCTTTGGGACAGTGGTCCCAGTGACGCTATAGATGCCACTGAAGTGGATCAGCAGTGCTAGGACCTATCCCAGCACACAACTGATCCCACTCCAAAATCAACATCTGTTTCTAGCTGCAGTGGCACAACCAATGTTAAGACTTTAAAAGGTGGCCAAAAATGATGTGTAAATACCAGGGGGAAAGTCTCCATTGCATGAGTGAATCAGCTATTGAGAAAAGTTTCTCTAGTAACTACTGTCAGTTGTATTGAGTTATGCCATCGTTTTTCAAAGTACATTGAGCTGTATGTCACTCTTAGGGGGTATCCTATCCCTCTCCATCAGTGACTGACCCTACCCTCACTGTGGAAGCTCTAGACCAGACCGTTGCTGCATTTGACACTGTGGAAGAGCTACTCAAACACTTTAATCCGGATTCATGGCAAGAAGATCTTGAAAATCTGTACACGGATGCTGGACATCACTCTCGAGGCAGGAGCTACCATGACAGAAAGTCTAAAGGTAGGGAAAGCCATGGTATGAATATTTGTATTAAGACTAGTTGTTTCCTTTACATTTTTTACCAGTGTTCCTTATTTGATTATCAAGTCTGGATTTTTATACCCTCACTTAAGTTGGAGTCAATGGAATGAATCGCAGTTGTAATAGATTGTAACTTGGTCTGAGGATGAGAGACTTTGAACCTTAAATATTTTCAGTCTGTCTGATTAAGATGTCACCCAAGTCACCAAGTTGGCTCCTGCCCATCAGTATGATTAATTCACAAATGAAGACACAGGCACTTGAAATTATATATGTACAGGGCAGATGGTTTTCAGCTTCCCACTAAAGTATTATTTTGTGTCTAAGGAATGGGACTTCTAATTACCTGTACTATAATCCTCCTTTAAATATCCTGCTTTAAGACTGTTCTAAATTGAGTGGGGAAAAAATATTTTTATCACATTGTGCTTAGGGAAGCATCTGGTACAAACACCTGTATATGCAGCTGTTTTTTTTAGGATGTGAGCATCTCACTGATTTTCATTATGTTGATGGGGAACATTAGTATGGTTCAGCATTTTGATTGCAATTGAACAAAGCATGCATTTCTGGATTATGTTTCTTGTTTCCTTCCCTTACTCTAAATTGTCTGCTAAATGTAAAGTTGGTGATACAGACTAATAGTGATGGGGAACATTGATTAGAAGGGTCAGTCATGCCACAGTTGTGTCCATTGAAATGGTACTTCATGGTGGAAAAGATATGAGTTGCTATCTTAATTCTTTTGAGCAAACATCACTATAGTTTCCAGTAGCCTATGTGTAATACAATTTAGTTTGAATTGTAAATGTTCTTATTAATAATAGCCTATATTACAATTTCAATATACATACATTCATATATGATTTCACAAATAACTTTTCTAAAATAATCTGCAAATTACAGACCTGATTCTGCAAAACCATCATTTTTTAAACTTCCACTGACTTTAACTGTTCTTTTGTGCAAAGAAAGACCTGGGTTTTATCTGTTAAGTACTTTAGAACTAGTACTAGAAATGCTGTTTGTAGATGACCTTCAAGAGAAAAGCCCTTTCAGGACAGTCCTGTTCCCTTTGTTTGCCTAAAGGCTAGTTTTCCTTTTATAGGCACTTTAAGTGTGACTATAACCCATTCAGTCTATACCTGAAATTATCCACACAGCTACTGCACCTGCTCAGTAGGCTGCATACTGGCTGGGCAAATACATGGCTAAGAAAAAAACAGGTCGATGGGACCTCCAATATTTGAGCCTCAGTTACTGAATAGTTAGGGCACCTGCTCAAAAAATGGAAAGCCTGGATTCTTGCTCCCCCTCCAAATGCACCTAGAAAGATTTTAAGCCTGTGCTGCTCCAAATTACCAGCACAGGGCACACTGTAACATCCACATTACACGTTAGGAATGATCCAGGGCTTCTCCAGCATTCGTTTTGAAGCTGAGCTACTGAACCTTGCATTTAATAATCATTAAATAAAGTGGATGGAGAGGAGTGAGGAAGTTTTTGTCCCACTATGATCAAGCATCCAAACCTGGGCCTTTTTAAGAGTTGCATCAGCCTCAGTAAGACATGCACCCTCTTGCTTGTTCTCTTCCTCCGGACTCCATTTCTCTGACTTTTGTCTCCCCAGGGGCCAGGCTCAGAAGGAGGGTTGGAGAAAGGTCTGGGTAGCACCTAGCCTCTGGTATGGCAGTTAGAGAACTACTCTAAACAGCTGAAAATGTGTAGGTTCAAGTCCTCTCTGTGACAGGGGGACCTAAAACCTGCATCTCCTTTTTCCTGAGTACTCTAATCACTCTGCTATTGCATCTAAAAAAGTGAGGCTCATTCTTGTCCTCCTCATCCTAAGGCTTTTGCCAGTGTGAAATGTACATATATATATATATGTTGGGTTTACATATAGCTGCATGTTTGTCCATCCAGTAGACAGACTATTGAGCGTATATGCAGTAGCTATGTGGATGCTAATGTATCCATACTGCATGGTAAAAGAATTGCCAAAAGCACCACTTACACAGCTAAAAAAACTGTCATTTAGGCACATCAGAAGTAATAGAATTTGAGGCCTTGTCCTATTTCAGTTCAAGTTACACTTGTAATTCTACATTTTTAAAGCGAATGGTTGTTGTGATTGTCTCATACCTTAGAGCTCAATTTTTGAAGGACACTGATTTTTAGAAAGCACTTCATATACAGCCTCTGAAAATCAGGCTCTTTTAAGGTATTCCATCTGAGTACCTGAAAAATACAGCCAACCAAAGCCTTCCAATTTTTTGGAAAACTAAGGCCACATTTCTTCCATTTAGATTGAACTTGACATCTGATATAATCTGATCTCATTTGGAATGTATGGAATATAATCAGCTATGTGTCTACCATTCCCAGACTGGATTCAGACCTGATGAAAATGTATACAAAAGGCATGAAGGGTCTGATTTGTCTTTAATATAGTCTGACAAGAAACCTTGATCTTTTACTAAGTCTTCTATCCAGACTGCATTCAACACTCAAATCAAATCAGAGCCAGCACAAATGTATTGTATCTGAAACAAAGTATGCTGTGTTTTATCCAGCCCAATCAAATTGACTCCAGGTCCTTATCCGATCTTCCTGGTTGCCTGCAGGAAACCTACATTCATTACAATTTCTCCACTGAGTACAGAGGGAATTCTACTTTTTCTCCTGGCAAAATGCTATGAAGAAGGAATGAGTTTGCCAGTTTTTGTTTTAATTCACTTTTTTTCATGCTGACAGTGAAAAAACATAAAAGCATCCATGGACACCTTTGTTCCAAGCAAAGCACAGACTATCTGATTGTTGTTGGCAAACTCTGACCAACAATGCCCTGCCCAAATCAGACCCCCAAAAATTCAATCCAAAATTCTTTTCCTTGGTTATAAGCTAGTGATAACAAGAAATATTCATAATTTTAATGACAGGAGTGCAGAAGTTTTACATGTTAAAATGTGAGTACAGAAGTTTCATACAGAAATAAAATCATTTAAAAATAGAATCATTTACAGAATACAGAAATAAAATCATTTAAGGTAGCAATGCACTGGGGTCTTTGAATATGGGCTGTGTGAAATCCAGGACTTGTTTATAGGCACTGGAGTAATCTTATAGCTGAATGAACAATAGATTATATCATTGTTTATATCAGATTTGTATCTTTCTTTACTTCCAGTTTGGTTTTGTACTTTATTCTTGGCTAGAACAGTCCCAAAGGCAGATTAGCACAACTTGATGTAATCCCTGGGTAACTCTCAGCATTTTCAGAACATGTCACATAAATGATATATGTGAATTGCTAATAACTTCACTGTTATCTGACTCCCTGCTCATACCAAACACTCCTTGAAAATTGGGTTTAACAAGTAGTGTTTCTAGATAATCAACTGCAATAGCAGAACAATTCCATAAATGTCCCATAAAACTATAATACTTTTAAACTTGACAGTCCATGAAGAATGAAGCTAAGGATCAGAATAGAAGTGATAAAAGAGTATGGTATTTCAGAACTTTCTGACATTTCTACAATGTTTGAAAAGTTCTAAATCTATGTATTTGATCTCTCTATAACACTGGTATAACTCCATTGACTTGGATATGGTTACTCTTTATTTGCAATAGGGCTGTCCAACTTCTAAGCCTCTGGAGGCCACACCAGCAGGGGGCTGCACACCACATGGGATGTACAAGGTGTAGTGTGTGGACACTTCCTCCTCCCCTACCACCACTGTGCCACACACTTGTGCAAGTTCCACTCCCCACCCTACTGCTGCACCACATGGGTGTAATCCCTCCATACATAGCTCTGATTTCTCCGTCTACCCCGGGCATAGCCCCTGATTCGCCTTAACTCCCTATACTGCCACATTGGGGTTGGAGCAAGGGCAGGAAGTGGCAGCTGGAAGAGGGAGGGGGAGTCTGGAGACTCCAGCTGCTATTGCAGCCAAAGCAATGAGGCAGCAGTGACCAGGTGAGATACTGGGGGCCTCACGTTAGCCCCTCATGGGTTACCAGTTGGACAACCCTGATTTACAGTATTTAAGTTAGGTATATATATTAATATACTAATAATGCCATCATGCCTGTTTGAAATTTGATTCTATGAATGTGCCCTGAAGGTTGCATTTTGCTATTCATATGGAAGCTTATTATGAAATAAACATTTGTGTTTTCAAAATCTTTAAATGATGGACTAGGTAAAAATCCTTCCTCCATAAAGAAATATGACAGGTAAATGATTGAAATAACCCTTGATTTTAGATATATTCAATTAGATTTAGTAGTTAAATCTATATTTTAGAATTAGGAACTCTAAATGTGTTCTTCCTAAGCATTAAAAAGAGAGAGTCATACAATTTTCATTATGTCTTTTGAACAATAATTCCCCTTGCAATTTCCTTAGTAGCTTACACTTGACTTAAATGTCATAATAATGTGGCTATTCTCACTGTAACAGTTTCTTCAATAGGTATTAGAACTAGTTTATTATTTAATACATATTTTACTACTAGTTAATACAATAATTAATATAAAAAGAGAGCAAGCACCCTGTGCAATTACTTTTAGACACATTTTCGTCAATCTTTATACTTCATTTAACTTTTTCACAAAGTTTGAGTGTATCTTTTTAAAAATCCCTAACTCTCATGAATATATATCAAAATTGCTTTAGAAGTTAAAAAATAAGACAATTTTTCAGAGCAAAGTTATTGATTTTAAATGGGCGTTATGTTAAGGTTCTGGAAAAAAGGAAGGCTTAAAATATGTTTCGAAATAGAAGCAGAATGAAAGGTCTGAGGGAGATAAGTAGAGAAAAGGGTCAACTTCAAAAAAGAAAATCCATTTCATAAATAATCTCAGTAAACAGGAACACACATAGATGCATTCTGGCACTGATAGAGACTACACAGACTTATGACCCTACACTTTCTCTCTTTGCTTATTGTATGTTTAGCAAATAGTATGCA